TGGCATCCTCGGGCGACCTTGTCTGTCCCGTCGCGGCCATCGGCGATAGCCCCCAGGTAGCGCATCCGCACGCTCCTGGGCGGGTTGGGGCGATCAAACCCGCATCGGCGATCAATGGGCGCCTTGGTGTCGGTGCAGCTCCGCCTGTGCCCGATCAAGCCGGCGCCGCGTTCACGGAGGAGGAGGAGGAGGAGAAGGAGGAGGATGAGGAGGAGGACCAGTGTAGACCCAAGAGTCATCAACGATGTTGGAATTAAGTCTCCCTCCAAGCTCCCTCTTCATAGGCCCCTACAACGGTTCAGTTCCATTGAAGGAACTTCCTCGTAGGACGACAGCCGTTTGAAGGCCCAGAAGCACGCAAAAGCATTGTTGTCGGGACTTCCCCGCCACGGATCAATCTGACTGATGCATCCTGACGATCTGGAATCGTGCCAGAACGCCACTTATGGGACTTCAACACCGCGAACCAACCTAGGTGTTGCACACACATAATGGACCCGTGAAGCTCTTGCAATTTGTTTAAACGAATGTGCACGGCACTGGGGCGAGAACCACATATTGAAAAGGAGACGCCCTCAATCCGTGAAACTCTTGCAAACTTGTAGAAAGAATGGGCGCGGCGCTAAACCGAGAGCCACATTTTGAAAACCACCCGCCCTCAACCCGTGAACTCTTGTAAATGTTTTAGTATGAAAGTGAGTGGCGCGAAAGCGAAAGCCACATTTTGAAAACGACCCGCCCTCAATCCGTGAAACGCATGCAATGTTTGAACGAATGTGCGCGGCGCTCAGGCAAAAGCCAAATTTGAAAAACCACCCGCACTCAATCCGTGAAACTCTTTACAAGCTTAAAACGAATGTGCGTGGCGCTCAGGCGAGAGCCACAGTTTGAAAACCACCCGCCCTAAATCAATGAAGCTCTTGCAATATGTTTAAAAGAATGTGCGTGGCGCTGAGGCGAGAGCCACATTTTGAAAACCACCCGCCCTCAATATGTGAAGCTGCTGCCATCCTTTAACCTTCCGAATCACATATGGTGAGGGAGTCTCAGGCGAAACGCCAAGCCCGCCCTAAAAACTGGCCTCGGGGTTCGACAGGGAGAAGCGATGTGGAAGGAACAACCATGGAGGAGGAGAAGGAGGAGAAGGAGGAGGACGAGGAAGGAGGGGGAGGAGAAGGAGGAGGACCAGTGTAAACCCAAGAGCCGTCAACGATGTTGGAAGACACCCTCCCTCCAAGCTCCCTCTTCGTAGGCCCCTACAACGCTTCATTTCAATTGAGGGATCTGCCTCGTTGGAAGACAACCTTTTGAAGACCCAGAAGCATGCCAAAACATTGTTGTCGGGATTCCAACGCCACGGATCAACCTGACTGTTGCGTCTTGACGATCCTGGATCGTGCCAGAAAGTCATTCTTGGGATTTCAACATCGCGACTTAACGTAACTGTTGCACCCGCAAAATCCTGAATCCGCCCAAAACACCGATTCCGGTACGCTGGTCGCGGAAATCCGTGACACGCTTGCAAACGTTAAAAACGAATGTGCGCGGCGCTGAAGCGAGAGCCACATGTTGAAAACCACCCTCCCTCAATCCGCGAAACTCTTGCAAGCTTGTAGGACGGATTTGCGCGGCGCTGAGGCGACAACCACATGTTGAAAACCACCCGCCCTCAATCCGTGAAACTATTGCAAATGCTTGCGGCGCTAAGGCGAAAGCCCCACTTTGAAAACGGGGTATCCTCAATCCGCGAAACTCTTGCTCATGTTTAGAACGAATGTGCGCGGCGCTGAAGCGAGAGCCACAGTTTGAAAGCCACCCGCCCTCCATCTGCGAAACTGTTGCCAACGCTGAAGCTTCTTAATCGTAAATGGTAAGGGGGTATCAGGCGAAACGCCCGGTCCGCCGTAACAACTGGCCTCGGGGCGCGACAGGGAGAAATTATAAGGAACGGAGTTGGAGGAAGAGGAGGAGAAGGAGGAGGAGGAGGACGAGGAGGAGGAGAATGGACAAGGGAGACGAAGGAGGAGGAGGAGGAGGAGGAACAGGGAGGACGGGAGCGAGGGAGGAGGGAGGAGGAGGGGAGGAGGAGGCGAGGATCACTGACCAAACTGCCAGGTCTGCTAGCGGGCCGCCATTGAGCAGTCCCTCGGGGCCGTTGGCCGCATTTGGGACTGTCAATGGGGGACACCCATTGCTTGGGGAGACCCCAACTCGCAGCCTGTTTATGGGGGATGCTGGCGAGGTCCCACCCTGGCTAGCAGCCCCACATCGAAAGCAAGCTTGGGCTACCAGCCCTGGGACGGGGGAGGAGGAGGTAGAGAGGAGAGCGCAAGGGGGGGAGGGCAGGGGGGGCAGACGAGGCGGGGGAGAGCGAGGAGGCAGGATGGTGTCCGGCCTCTGGAGAACTGGGCGGAAGGGTTGGGACTGGCTTGGGTTAGAGAAGGGATGTGGGGACGGGAGCGTTTCGTTGGTGGCTGCGCCTTAGCAATGTGGACCCAGTCTACATGGATCCCCCTAGTGTTGGCAATATCTTGCCTACCCAGTGCGGCGTGCTACCAAAACTCAAAATTTATGTGTTGAGTCGGGCAAACAGAAACAACGGACCGCAGGCCAGATGGGTATGCGCAGCATAGCCGTAGCCCACAGTCCTAGCAGAGTTCCAGTGCGGACGGCACTAGTCTTGCCTATCTAGTACTGCTTGCCACCATAACTCAATATCCAGGGAGACAGTCAAGATGCCGAAAGCGCTAATCCTCATTACCATATTCAATGCAACCAGTAAATAAACAAACAGCCCCAAATCGAAAGCACTGTGCCCGGAGAGGTGGATGAGCAGAGGAGAGGGCCTGCGTTGAAAACGCCGGCTGCCTCTCGTGGAAGGACACGTGGGGGAGGCGAGGAGGACAGGGCCTGCGTTGAAAACACCGGCTCCCTCTCGTGGGGGGCGGCTTCCTCTCGTGGAGGGCGGCTCCCTCTTGTGGAGGGCGGCTCCCTCTCGTGGAGGGCGGCTCCCTCTCGTGGAGGGCGGCTCCCTCTCGTGGAGGGCGGCTCCCTCTCGTGGAGGGCGGCTCCCTTTCAGGGAGAGCGGCTCCCTCTCCTGGAGGGCGGCTCCCTCTCGTGGAGGGCGGCTCCCTCTCGTGGAGGGCGGCTCCCTCTCTTGGGAGGCGGCTCCCCCTCGTGGAGGGCGGCTCCCTCTCGTGGAGGGCGGCTCCCTCTCGTGGAGGGCGGTTCCCTCTCGTGGAGGGCGGCAAGAGAAGGAGGCGGAGCGGGCCAGAATAGGGGATGGGGGGGGCGGGCGAGAGAAGTGGAAGGGAAAGGGGTACGGGGGCTGCCGAAAGTGAGGGTGAGAAACCTTCGCCTCAGTCCACTCTTGGACACAACACTTCCCTATTCTGTTGGCGTGACTGGGGAATGGCATTCGCCCCAGCCCACGCTCGGTCGAAAGGAGGAGGCGAGGAGGAGGAGGAGGATCAGGAGGAGGAGGAGGAGGAGGAGGAGGAGGAGGAGTCTCTGGAGTCTCTGCCTGATCGCGTAGCGATCAGCGAAATTCCAAAACTCCGCCACCCTGTGCAGGGTGTTCTTGGCCCTGGAGGCCTTCTTGGCACGACTGAGGACCTTGGGCCAGAGCCCTCTCAAAATTCGCTTGAGATACTCGCATCCCGTAGGTGTGAGCTTCTGGCACAAGTCACCGAGCTTCCCGAGGACCTGCTGCGCGTAAGCGCCACAGAGGGTGCAAAACCGAAGTTTCAGCCCAACCTGGAACCTTAAACGGTGGCTCTGGTGCACAACCCGCCCCGCGATATGGACCACCTTCCCAAAAGGAGCCTCCTTAAATGTGCCGTCAGCTTTAAAGGTTCGAAGCAGTCACTCTGGAGCCAAAGGGACCTCGAGGCCTTGCTGGAGGAACTGAAACACAAAGCACACGCGCAGCCTGTGGGATCAACTTGGTGTTATGACCCGAAAAGAGCACACAGACTGGGTGCTGGTAGGCGCTCGGGCTTAACCCCTCTCTGCGGCTTTGGGCGCGGCACACCTTGACACTGAAACTCACACTTCTCGGATTCGATCGCGTCGAGAGCAGTACGGAGAAAGCTCATCCTTACCAAAAAGCCTTTTGCTCAATGAGGAGGAGGAGGAGGAGGAGGACAAGGAAGGACGAGGGAGGAGGGGAGGAGGAGGAAGAGGAGGAGGAGGAGGAGGAGGAGGAGGACGAGGGAGGATCAGGAGGTGGAGAGGATGATGATGAGGAGGAGGAGGAGGGGGAGGAGGAGGAGGATGAGGAGGAGGAGGAGGAGGAGGGAGGAGGAGGAGGGAGGAGGAGGGAGTAGGAGGAGGAGGAAGAGGGAGGAGGACCTGGCGACCCCGAGTGCATCCCTCGGGGCCAGTGCATCCCCCCCCTGTGCCCACAGTAGGTCAAAGATGGGGTCCTGAAGGATGGGGCCCTAAGGATAGGAAGGGATCCCCAAGGGTGGATCTACATTGTCTGAGGCACCTCGTCTTCAGGAGCTCATCCCTCAGGACCCCATCTTCGAACCACCGATGCCCGCTCAAGCCGGCGCCGCGCCCGCCCCTCAGGCCGCCGGCGGCCCGCGGGGCCCTGCGCCGTCGGCCCCGGGCCGCCGCGGCGGGCTCGCCGCGCCTGCGGCGGCGGGCGGCACTGCGGGCTCGGGCGCGGCGGGCGGCGCGAGCGGCCGCAGGCGGGCAGCGCTGCGGCCTTACCACCCCACCAGGATGTTCGCATGAAGGAGTCCCTGTCCGCCTCCTCCTCAACCTCTCCTCCTCCTCCTCCCCCTCCTACCTCCTCCTCCTCCTCCTACTCCTCCCCCTCCTCCTCTCCTCTCCTCCTCCTCCGCCTCCACTCTCCTCCTCCTCCTCCTCCTCCTCCTCCTCCTCATCCTCATCCGCCTCTTCCGCCTCCTCCTCCTCCTCCCTCCTCCTCCTCCCTCCTCCTCCTCCTCCCCTCCGCCTCCTCCTCCTCCTCCGCCTCCTCCTCCTCCTCCTCCTCCTCCTCCTCCCGCAGGTGGGCCGTGGGCGGCCGCGGCGCAGCCGCCCACGGCGCCCTCCAGGGCGAGGGCGGGCGGCTGCCCATCGGGCAGGGGCGCGTCGGCGGCCTCGGGCGGGGCGGCGACGACCTCTGCACGTCCGCCGCCCCGGGCCAGGCCCCTCCGCGGCCCAGGAGGGCCCCAGACCCCCTCGAGTCATGACAAAAATCACGACGGGAGGTTTTTCGCTACTTTCGGCCTCCCCTGGCCCTTGCGGCGCCTCTGGACCGTCAAACAACGACTCGGGACGAAAAACCGATCCCGGGGAATGGGTCGAGACCTCTGGGGGTCGACGTCCTGAAAGAATCGTGACGTCAGGGGTCTGGGGTCGGTGCACACGGCCTCCTGGCGTGGCCACGGCGGTGCGCGCGCACCGCTCCCGGGCCCAGGAGGGGCCTGAGCCCGGCCGGGAGCAGCGGATGTATGCGTCGGTCCCGTCGCCCGGTCGGGGGCGCAGGGGCTCGGTGCGCTGCCGAGGCTGCTGCCGCCAGCGGGGAGCAGCGGCGTGACCTCGCGCACGAGCGCGACGAACTCGGCGCGCAGCGCCTCCATATCCTCGTGCAGCTCCCTCCGGACCGCCTCCCCCTTATCGAGCTGGTGCCGCAGGAGCCGGTTCTCCTGCTGCAGCGCCTCCAGCGCCTCGTCGCGGGAGCCGCCGCCCGTCGCCTCCAGCGCCTGCGCGAGGGCCTCCCGCGCCCGTGCGTAGCGGGCCTCGCCCTCGTCCCTGCGGCTGTAGGCCTCCTCCAGCTCTGCGCAGCTGAAGCTGGAGTCCTCGGCCACACGCGAGAGGGGCCCCAGGCAAGAGTGACTTCTGGTGCGCGCCTACAGGGGGGGGGGCGCGCGGCGGCCCAGACCAAGAGCGCCAGCAGCTGCTGTCGCATCTCGTTCAGTGATCGGAGGGCCCCAGTGTCAGGTCGGGCGTGTCCTCCTGCAGGCCGATTTTTCGACGAACCATGAAAAATAGTCCAAAAGTACTCAACAATATGGTTCAACAGTATTCAAAAAATCCTCCCCGACTATTTTTGTTGACTGTTTCTGATTCTTCTCCCCCTGTAGAGGGACAGGCCCGACCTGCCCCCAGTGGGCCCGCACCAGGGGTCACTCCGGCTAAGGGCCACCCCTCGGAGGCCTGGAAATGGGCACCAACACCAACACAGGGGGTTGCCTCCACAGGGGGAAGATGATCCTAGATTTCGGTGTTGGTGGTAATATTTCGGCCACCTTGGAAGCCAGAATATTACCACCATCACCGAGATCGGGATCTTCTTCCCTCGATGAAGGCACACCGCCAATATTGGTGTTGGTGCCAACCTCTAGGCCTGCGAACCCCTGCGTGCCGCCCGTGTCCGGCAGGACCGCCACCACGCGCTCGTCCTCCCCCGGCGCCAGGGCGTCGTCCCCGTCGGCGGCCAGCGGCACCAGCCGGTACAGGTCCACGCGGGGCGCCCGGCGCAGGCCGTGCTCCGAGCCGTCGCTGCAGCTGTCGTCGCTGTCGGCGCTGTCGGGGCGCTCCCCGCGGGGCGGCGTGCCCTTCTCGAGGGCCGGGCCGCCCAGGGCGAAGGCGTCGCGGACCTGCCTCACGACGTCGCTGGTCGTCGCCGGGCCTGGCACCGAGAGGCACGCCACGCCCCAGAGGACGTGGACCATCCTCGCAGGCGGCCCACGAAGAGGGTGCTGGGACCGCCTGGGCCGAGATGATGACGGTTAGGTCGGGCATGTCCTCCGACAGACAGATTCTGGACGAAAGATAGTCGACAATGGTCAAACATATTCGAAAAATCGTCCCCGTATTATTTGTTGATTCTGGTTGAATAATCCTCCTGTAGAGGGACACGCCCGACTGAAGATTAGGGGGCGGTGCGGTCTCGCGCCAGGCCAAGGGGGCACTCGGCGTCGTGCCTCCGAGCTCTCAAGCCCACGAGTCTGCACTGCAGCGGGCTGCGATTCGGACGCCCGTGAAGGCAAGGGTGTGCTCGACGTTCCAGTGGCCGACTCACCAAAGCCGTGGCATCAACATCTGCCCACCGCGCGTTACCTTCGCAGGCGAAAGACAATTAGGTACGCGTCCAGCCGAAACGCACCCACTGCCCGACAGTGTGATCGATGCCGCGTTCAACCTGTCGAGGAACCGTGCGTACCCTATCGACAGAACCGAGGCTCACTTGCGATCGACCTGTGTGGCATGCTGCCCTGCGCCAAGTTTCCAGCTTACGATTCAATGCTGTATGATGTTCAGTTTACAACGTGCTGCAACTCTTTCGGGTTCCTGCGTGATCTCTAGTCTCCCAAAGCCGCATCCTCTCCCCCTTGATGTCTGGACTGTCGAGATAAAGCACAGTTGCGCATGCATTCAGTATGCTCTGACATGGTCCTGTGTGAAATGCAGATCATATCGCACGTGACGGGTTGCTGGTCAACGCAATTGCACGTCACCAGCTAATCAGCTTACTTAACACGAGGCGAAAATATTACCTTAGTTAGGGTGGACCAGTTCCTCTTTGCTCCAGGGGTATGAGCTTTGCTGTGTAGATGTACCAAACACTGTCGCATCGCATCTTGGTTTGGCATTGCTTATCTGTGTCAGACGGGTGTGTGTGTGTGCGTCTCCGCGCGACTTCGCTGGGACCCAAGCTGTCGGCTTCGTTCCCACATTATAGTGCTTGACCCGCCGACTGCAACCCATTGGCGCGCCAGAGAAACAAGTCAGTCCGTGCGCGCGCGTGTGTGTGTGTGCGGGTGTGTGTGTGCGTGCTGACTCTTGCATTGCACTGGATGCGATTCGGGGTCTTCAGCTTGCATCCATTTTCGCGGCTTTTTTCTGAATGCACTGCACCCATCCAATCCACGTTATTGCTACGCAAGGCGATGATGCGCCTAAGCGTATCCCGGCTTAGCGCTTTCGACGGTGTAGGAAAGAGCGTGCGTATGTATGCGTGTGCGCGCGTGTGTGCGTGTGTGCGTGCGAGTGTGGCAGCGCGACCCGCCCCTCTAACTTCGAATGTGTCGGCGCGCTTTCAGGAACTATGTGGCCCGTACCCTTGCTCTTGACGCCGCCCTCACCCTTCCCCTTAGAGGCATTTTCTCATTTCCTTGAACCTGACGTCCCCATTTGATCTTGGCATCTCACCTTGATCACGACCTGAAGTGTAGTCATGTGTAGCCTTCTAGGGTAACGTTACCATCAGCGTGAACCTCTTGACTTGGCCCTGAGCAAGACCCTGAACCATAACATGCCCCTAGACGTCTAAACTTCCTGTCAACCGGATCATACAGCAGCCAGAGGCCGATGCTTGCTCGTATTGTTCGTATTGACCTTGATCGTGCTCTTAAATACCGCCCTAACCTTGTCCATCACCTTTCTAATGCCTGTCGAATAGTGTTGACAAGTTGATTCGCATTCACATCGCCCTTATCGTTAGTAACCCTATGCATCACATCATTCACACACACACATCAGCATTCATATTACGCGGGCGACTACCCAAGCGAATTTCCCCTCCCTTGCCCTGCATTGAACTGCGGCTGCGCCGCGCTGCATCTTTGCTCCGCTCAGGAGACTCGCCCCCCGAAGAGAGGACCCCGCAGAACCGCCCCTCTCCACGGGCCGCTCATCACGCCAAGGCGATTCGGAGGCGCTTCCTAGCACCCGTGGACACGGTGTGGTCGGAGCCCTGGTCGCGCGCGCGGCGCGGGCGCTCCGCCGCGGCGGAGGACGCCAGCGCACGGGAGCGGCTGGCGGTCCAGTCGCTGCCGCTGCCCTCCGGCCCGGACCCGCTGCAGGCCTCTGGAGCGGAGGCGCCGCGCACGGACCCGCCGCGCTCCCGACCCGCCGTCCACGCCGCGACCCGCTCCGCCGCCTGCGCCGCCCGGCCCTGCTGGTCCCGGTAGCGCCCGATGTCCTCGTCCCCGAAGATGTCGATGGGCCGATTTCCCGCCACCACTACCACAGGTAGGAGGAGGAGGAGGAGGAGGAGCAGCAGCAGGAGCAGGAGGAGGAGGACCTCCCCATCCTCATCTCTCTCCCGCATTGCCTATGGTAGTGGTGGTGGAAAACTGGCCCATGCGATGTACGTCGTGCGCTCGACGAGGCTCCCCAGCTGCGAGCGCTCGACGGTGACGACCCGGAGCATCTTGACCCTCGCGGGGGCGGCCGCTGCAGGGGCCGGGGCCGCATCCGCGGCCGCCGCTGTGGGCTGGGCCACCGGGTGGCCAGCCGCGGCGGAGGCCGCTGCGCCGTCGGGACCAAGGGCGGCGCGGAGTCGGAGCATCTCGGTCTGATCCTCCTCCTCCTCCTCCTCCTCGTGCGGGGTCGCGAGCAGGTCTGCCTCCAAGTCGTCCAGCAGGCCGCCGTCGGGGCGCGCAGGAGCTGCCGAAGGCGGGCCCGAGTGCAGCCCGGCGTCGCCCCTCTCGTCCTCGCGGGCCTCGCTGCTGCTGCTGCTGCTGGCCTCGCGGTCGCTGATGTCGGGGCACTCTGCCCCGAGCGCCCCCAGCTCTCTCTCGAACGCCTGCTGCAGCATCTGGTCGTGGCACTTCTTGAGCTCCGCGCCGGACAGCTTCTCGGTGGGATTGCGCATGGAGAACTCTGGCGCCTCCGCGCCCGCCTCGGCCTCCAGCTGCGCGGCGCGGAGCAGGGCCACCCGCTCCCATCGCGCAGTGCACTGCTTGAGACGCCGACGCGACACGCCCGCGTGGACCAGCCTCCGCCGCAGCTCCGCGTCGCTCAGCCGCTGCAGCGCCGCCACGCGCAGCTGCTCGGGAACCTCGGAGGCCTGCACGGCCAGCAGGCTGACGGCCTCCCCCCGGGCGCCCGAGGGGTCGCCCGGGCCGGAAATGGCGAACAGCTGCCGCTGCCTGCCCACCACGGCCAGCCGCTGCTGCGAGAGGTGCCAGGGCGTCATCCGCAGCTGCTGCAGCACCCACCTCGCCCGTGGCGCCACGGGGCTGCTCATGTCCCGCCTGCGCGCCTCAAGCGCCTCGAGCTCCTCCACGGCCCGGCGGGTCGCCTTGTCGCAGCTCAGGAGCTCGCCGATCCCCATGCTGCGCAGGCCCTGCGCCCCGCGCTCCAGCGCCTCCAGCAGGCACACGTCCTCGGGGGCCGCGGCGCACGCGCCCTCGGCGGCCCCGGCGTACTCCCGGCACTCGCCGCGCGCCGCGTGCGCCTGCCCAGGCCACCACTTCGCGACGTCCTGCGCCAGGCGCTCCTCGAAGCCGGCGCCGCGGCGGGCCGGGGCCCTCCTGCACGCCTCGCCGATCATGCGCCTCATCAGGTTCTTCCGCCGGAGCGCGCACTGGCGTGACGATGGTGCGCAAATCTCCACCACGGGCTCCACCTGGCCGACCGTGCAGAGGCGACTGATGGCTCGCAGGTAGAGCCGCGTGTTGGTGCCCCGGCGCTGGCCCCTCTCCCGGCACCCCACCAGCAGGAAGTCCACGCCGCTAGGCTGTTGCCTGAACAGCGGCGCCCTCGCCAAGCTCCACTCCATCACGGCCAATCCCCGCCCCGGCGGCAGGCGGGCCTGGCCGTTCAGCAGGCCCGGCACAGGGTGGTGCGCGGGCAGCCGCGCGGGGACGCTGTCGTCGAAGGGCCCAAGCGGCAGGCCAGCTGCGTCGCGCCCAAGGCCTGGGCTGACGTACTCCAGCACTCGGTGGGCCATGCCGACGACACCCAGCAGGAGAGGAAACTCCTCTACGTACTCGTACAATGCGAACTCTCGGCCGCCCTCTCGGAAGGAGAGCTCGGCCCAAGTGCTGGGCGCGCCCGCCAGGCCGCCGCCGCGAGCCGGGCACTCCACGGTCTGCCAGGGCCTGCGCAGCCCCTGCGGGGTGGGAAGGCCTGGCCAGAGCCGCAGAGACGGCGGGCGGCTGCCGCCGCAGGCGGCAGGCTGCCTGGCGCCCTTGAGGCGGGCCAGGGAGCCGTAGATGCGATGCGCCACCGCGCTGTGCTCGGGCGCTGGGCCCGGGCCAGCAGTGCGGTCGGCGGGCGCGGGTGGGGCGACCGCGGCACTCCTGCGCGCGCCACCCGCGGGCGCCTGGTGCTGGGCCTCGGCTCGCTGGCGCGCCTGGCTAGCCAGGTCCGCGGGGCGGGGCCTCGCGGGAGGCCTGCGGCGCACCGGAGCCCGCTGGGGTACAGCGGCTGGCGCCTCGAAGAGGTCCTCCGCGCGGCACCGCCGCCTCGGCTCGGCGCTGCAGGGGCCGTGCCCGCCAGGCGCCAGCGCGGCGCCAGCGGCCCTGGGGGGAATGCCCAGACCGATCGCCTCGAGGAGGCTCTCGCCGAAGCCAGGGGTGCGGCAGAGGCGCCCGAGGTAGCTGCCCGCCGCCGCCGACCACGACCCGAGATCTGCCGTGGTGGTCCCGCCGAGAGCTCTGGCGTCGTCGCTAGGCGCCGCTGCCTCAGCCGCCTCTGTCGCAGCCGCGGCTGGGACTGGGGCCGTTGGCAGCCCAGCTGCCACGGGTCGTGGCGGCGCGGGGCCACAGGCCCGCCGGACCGAGGGAGGCATAGGCGGGGGCGGCATGCCCGCGGCCGTCGCGCCGGGGTGCCAGGCGGCGCCATCGGCTGCCGCGTCTGGGGCGGCGGGGCTCCACAGGGGCCGCGCTGTGCCCGGGCTGGGGCGGGAGAGGGGCGACCTCCACGCGGGCAGCGCGGGACCGGGGCTGGGGCCGAAGCGGGGCGACTGCGGCTGCAATCG